GGGGGAGAGGAGCTAAGGGAGCCGGGAGAGGAGACAGAGGAGGAAGGGAGACGGAGGAGGGAAAGGCAGCAGCAAGAGCAGGAGGAAGAGAAGAAGGAGCCAGAGGAGGAGGGAGCGGAAAAGGAGGAGAAGGAGTGGGAGAAGGAAGGGAGGAGGGAGAAGGACGGGGAGGAGGAGGGGTGAAAGAGGAGGGGACAGGGGAGAAGAGCAACACGGGGCAGGAAGGGAGGAAGAGGAGGAGGGAGGAGAAGAAGAGGCAGAGGAGGAGGAGGAGGGGAGGGAGAGGAAGACGGGGAAGGGGAAGTGAAGAAGTGACAGAAGCAGATGCGGGGGGGGGCAGCTAATATTATTAAGAGCTCTCTGTGTCCTACGCGTCACTCTGAGTGCTACCTGGGTCTTTTCTCGTGTTACCCTTTGTCCTCTAGCCCTCCCTTCCAAAGTCGTGGGGAGTTTACTGAAATGCCTGCCTGAGTTCGCCGTTTGTCACCAGCGCCTCCCTCTTATCACCACTGTGTGGCGCTGCATCCTACTAAGTAGAGATCATCATAAGCCCTATAAGGAGGGTGTTACGCTTTAGATCTGAAGTGCTCCTCAAAAGTCTCCTGTCCACATGTGGGGGCCTGGCCCAAAGGGTCACTGGGCATGTGACTTGGGAGGATGCATTCTTATCCCTAGCTCTTCCCTTCTTTCTCTGCTTCTCGGCTGCTCAGTAGTGAACAATTTCCTCTGCCACGCTGAGGCCAGTCATCCATGGACTGAACCCACTGGAACTGTGAACCAAAATAAACCTGTCTTTAAGTAGCAGGTGTCGGGTATTTTGTCCTGGCAAAGGGGGAGCTGACTAATGCACATAGCTATCTCATCGAGGATGACCGTTTTGGAAATATGTTGATATGGTTCTCCCTTTTCTACTCCCCAGCCCCTTCTGCCAATTTATTTCATCTTGTTTTGGGAAAAACAAAGGTGTTTTAGAGTGGACGCACAATGACAGTGTTATCATTTGGATCTCAAATGTCCCTCAAAGACGCACGTGTTGAACACTGGGTCCCCAGCTTGGAGCTGTTGGCAAGTGGCGGGACCTTTAAGAGGAGGGGCCTAGTGGGAGGTCTTAGGTCACGGGGGCGTGGCCTCCAAGAGAACTGCAGAACCCAGGTCCTTTCCTCTTTCCCACTTTCTCTTTTGCTTCCCGGACCTGACAAGTGATCTTGCTGCACACTCCCACCAGGATGCGCCACCAGAGGCGAAAGCAACAGGGCCAGCAGATCACAGACTGAACTCTCTAAAGCCGTGAGCCAAGGCAAACCTTTCTTCTTTACGAGCCAGATAGCTCAGGTATCTGTTAACATAACAAAAAGGAACTAACACAGAGAACAAAAGAGCCATGCTCAGATTTAAATGACCACAT